AAGAAAGACACCAGTTTCAGTTATTTTTGATAAATTTGCATAAGAATTGCAAGGATCAATCATTAAAATCATGAAATAAAGCATCTACATAATTTTTTTTGGACAAAAATGTTAAAGTCGAATAAGGAATAGGGAACCAGTTCCTTATTCCTTATTCAACTCCGAATAAGGAACAGAAGAAAATATGTAAAGAAAGACACCAGTTGCAGTTATTTTTTATAAATTTGCATAAGAATTGCAAGGATCAATCATTAAAATCATGAAATAAAGCACCTACATAATTTTTTTTGAAAAAAAAATGTTAAAGTCGAATAAGGAATGGGGAACCAGTTTCTTATTCCTTATTCAACTCCGAATAAGGAACAGAAGTTATTACGTAAAGAAAGACACCAGTTGCAGTTATTTTTGATAAATCTGCATAAGAATTGCAAGCATCAATCATTAAAAATCATGAAATAAAGCATCTACATAAAAAAAATTGAAAAAAATGTTAAAGTCGAATAAGGAATAGGGAACCATTTCCTTATTCCTTATTCAACTCCGAATAAGGAACAGAAGGAAATACGTAAAGAAAGACACCAGTTGCAAATAAAGCATCTACATAATTTTTTTTGAGAAAAATGTTAAAGTCGAATAAGGAATAGGAAACCAGTTCCTTATTCCTTATTCAACTCCGAATAAGGAACAGAAGGAAATACGTAAAGAAAGATTCCAGTTGCAGTTATTTTTGATAAATTTGCATAAGAATTGCAAGGATCAATCATTAAAATCATGAAATAAAGCATCTACATAAATTTTTTTTGACAAAAATGTTAAAGTCGAATAAGGAATAGGGAACCAGTTCCTTATTCCTTATTCAACTCCGAATAAGGAACAGAAGAAAATATGTAAAGAAAGACACCAGTTTCAGTTATTTTTGATAAATTTGCATAAGAATTGCAAGGATCAATCATTAAAATCATGAAATAAAGCTTCTACATAAATTTTTTTGAAAAAAAATGTTAAAGTCGAATAAGGAATAGGGAACCAGTTCCTTATTCCTTATTCAACCCCGAATAAGGAACAGAAGTTATTACGTAAAGAAAGACACCAGTTGCAGTTATTTTTGATAAATCTGCATAAGAATTGCAAGAATCAATCATTAAAATCATGAAATAAAGCATCTACATAATTTTTTTTGAGAAAAATGTTAAAGTCGAATAAGGAATAGGAAACCAGTTCCTTATTCCTTATTCAACTCCGAATAAGGAACAGAAGGAAATACGTAAAGAAAGACACCAGTTGCAGTTATTTTTTATAAATCTGCATTAGAATTGCAAGGATCAATCATAAGAATCATGAAATAAAGCATTAGCATAAAAATATTTTGGAAAAAAAATGTTCAGGTTCAGTCGACTCCGAATAAGGAACAGAAGTTATTACGTAAAGAAAGACAGCAGTTGCAATTATTATTGATAAATCTGCATTAGAATTGCAAGGATCAATCATTAAAACCGTGAAGTAAAGCATCTACATAAATTTTTTGAAAAAAATGTTAAAGTCGAATAAGGAATAGGGAACCAGTTCCTTATTCCTTATTCAACTCCGAATAAGGAACAGAAGAAAAAACGTAAAGAAAGACACCAGTTGCAGTTATTTTTGATAAATTTGCATAAGAATTGCAAGGATGAATCATTAAAATAATGAAATAAAGCATCTACATAATTTTTTTTTTGAAAAAAATGTTAAAGTCGAATAAGGAATAGGGAACCAGTTCTTTATTCCTTGTTCAACTCCGAATAAGGAACAGAAGAAGATATGTAAAGAAAGACACTAGTTGCAGTTATTTTTGATAAATTTGCATAAGAATTGCAAGGATCAATCATTAAAATCATGAAATAAAGCATCTACATAATTTTTTTTGAAAAAAAATGTTAAAGTCGAATAAGGAATAGGGAACCAGTTCCTTATTCCTTATTCAACTCCGAATAAGAAACAGAGAAAATACGTAAAGAAAGACACCAGTTGCAGTTATTTTTGATAAATCTGCATAAGAATTGCAAGGATCAATCATTAAAATCATGAAAAAAAGCATCTACATAATTTTTTTCTTTTTAAAATGTTAAAGTCGAATAAGGAATAGGGAATCAGTTCCTTATTCCTTATTCAACTCCGAATAAGGAACAGAAGAAAATACGTAAAGAAAGACACCAGTTGCAGTTACTTTTGATAAATTTGCATAAGAATTGCAAGGATCAATCATTAAAATCATGAAATAAAGCATCTACATAATTTTTTTTTGGACAAAAATGTTAAAGTCGAATAAGGAATAGGGAACCAGTTCCTTATTCCTTATTCAACTCCGAATAAGGAACAGAAGAAAATATGTAAAGAAAGACACCAGTTGCAGTTATTTTTTATAAATTTGCATAAGAATTGCAAGGATCAATCATTAAAATCATGAAATAAAGCACCTACATAATTTTTTTTAAAAAAAAATGTTAAAGTCGAATAAGGAGTGGGGAACCAAGTTCTTATTCCTTATTCAACTCCGAATAAGGAACAGAAGTTATTACGTAAAGAAAGACACCAGTTGCAGTTATTTTTGATAAATCTGCATAAGAATTGCAAGCATCAATCATTAAAATCATGAAATAAAGCATCTACATAAAAAAAAATTGAAAAAAAAGTTAAAGTCGAATAAGGAATAGGGAACCATTTCCTTATTCCTTATTCAACTCCGAATAAGGAACAGAATTCCTTCTGTAAAGAAAGACACCAGTTGCAGTTATATTTTATAAATCTGCATTAGAATTGCAAGGATCAATCATAAGAATCATGAAATAAAGCATTAGCATAAAAATATTTTGGAAAAAAAATGTTCAGGTTCAGTCGACTCCGAATAAGGAACAGAAGTTATTACGTAAAGAAAGACAGCAGTTGCAATTATTATTGATAAATCTGCATTAGAATTGCAAGGATCAATCATTAAAACCGTGAAGTAAAGCATCTACATAAATTTTTTGAAAAAAATGTTTAAGTCGAATAAGGAATAGGGAACCAGTTCCTTATTCCTTATTCAACTCCGAATAAGGTACAGAAGAAAAAACGTAAAGAAAAACACTAGTTGCAGTTATTTTTGATAAATTTGCATAAGAATTGCAAGAATCAATCATTAAAATAATGAAATAAAGCATCTACATAATTTTTTTTAAAAAAAATTGTTAAAGTCGAATAAGGAATAGGGAACCAGTTCCTTATTCCTTGTTCAACTCCGAATAAGGAACAGAAGAATATATGTAAAGAAAGACACTAGTTGCAGTTATTTTTGATAAATTTGCATAAGAATTGCAAGGATCAATCATTAAAATCATGAAATAAAGCATCTACATCATTTTTTTTTGAAAAAAAAAATGTTAAAGTCGAATAAGGAATAGGGAACCAGTTCCTTATTCCTTATTCAACTCCGAATAAGGAACAGAAGTTATTACGTAAAGAAAGACACCAGTTGCAGTTTTTTTTTATAATTTTGCATAAGAATTGCAAGAATCAATCATTAAAATTATGAAATAAATCATCTACATAATTTTTTTTTTTAAAAATGTTAAAGTCGAATAAGGAATAGGGAACCAGTTCCTTATTCCTTATTCAACTCCGAATAAGGAACAGAAGGAAATACGTAAAGAAAGACACCAGTTGCAGTTATTTTTTATAAATCTGCATTAGAATTGCAAGGATTAATCATAAGAATCATGAAATACAGCATAAGCATAACAATATTTTGGAAAAAAAATGTTCAGGTTCATTCGACTCCGAATAAGGAACAGAAGTTATTACGTAAAGAAAGACACCAGTTGTAGTTATTTTTGATAAAACTGCATAAGAATTGCAAGAATCAATCATTAAAATCATGAAATAAAGCATCTACATAATTTTTTTTGAAAAAAAATGTTAAAGTCGAATAAGGAATAGGGAACCAGTTCCTTATTCCTTATTCAACTCCGAATAAGGAACAGAAGGAAATACGTAAAGAAAGACACCAGTTGCAGTTATTTTTTTATAAATCTGCATTAGAATTGCAAGGATCAATCATAAGAATCATGAAATAAAGCATTAGCATAAAAATATTTTGGAAAAAAAATGTTCAGGTTCATTCGACTCCGAATAAGGAACAGAAGTTATTACGTAAAGAAAGACAGCAGTTGCAATTATTATTGATAAATCTGCATTAGAATTGCAAGGATCAATCATTCAAACCGTGAAATAAAGCATCTACATATTTTTTTGAAAAAAAAAAATGCCATTCTGTCCATGGGGAGGAGAAACTAGAGATAACTGGATAACACGTGCACAATTGACAATCTTTTGTTCATGTTACATTTCATTCTTACATCCAATGTGAAGGTTAGAAAATGGCTGACAGAGAGTGGTGGAATCGGAATAGTTATTCTCGAAGTATCCGACCTGTTCACCAGAAGACGTTGGGCAGAGGGGAAATTGTTATGGATAAGAAACACAAATCCCGAATTAGTAAATGACCATGTCATTAATCTATTCGGGACAGAACATTAACATTTCGTGAGATATTATGGAGACCTTCAGACACATACGTCAGAATCAATCTGTTCAAATGATAAATGCCCGCAAAGAGTCGAACAAAGATCATCTGGAGAGATTGTTTTTTCAGTAAGTTATAATTACGCTACAATTCAAAGAACAAAACTACAATTTCCATTACAGTAATATCACCTCGCAATGTTTATAGCACATAATAATGTTACTATGTATTAGCTTTTATGTTCTTTTAGTTTCAAATTCTTAAAAAAACGTCTATGCACTATGAAGTTTCATATTGATATCTTAAATACTTTTTGATTGACATTCAGAACAGATATTAATTAATATGAAAAACTAGGGACAATAACTCAAAATTTATTGTGTAAAGAGTTACAGTCAATATACACAGCATGACGCCTTAGTGACATATATGCACTTTGGATGATTAATTATGAAACCTCAGATAATATTTTGAGTTCTGATTCAAAATTAAATGTGAATAAAAAATTGCAAAATGGAATAACTGAAAAAAAAATGAAATGAAGATTAACAGTATCTATATATTGCACTTAGGCTCAATAAGATTTAATGATAAAAGCAGTTTCAGGTTCATAAGTAAATAGTTGATAGAATATATTCCAAACTAGAGATGTGGCGTACGGACTGAAGGACGAAAAGCCAGACGGACAAATTCAGATCTATATCCCTACACCTTCTGAGATTATCACAAGACTGACAAAATAGTTAAAATATACAAATTACTAAAACACAAATGTAGTGTACAAAGCTTATAACTTTTACAAGGCATACGCCACTTCTACAACATTTAAAAGATTGTAAGAAATTTCTATGCATGTATGTCAATGATACCCAAAATCTGTTTCTTTTAAATAGTTTATGCAGCTAGCAATGGCCAAAATCATTTTGACTTATTCGTATTGTTTCAGTAATACAGAACGACGTACAATCCAAGACTCTTTGGATTTTTGGTCAAGTAACAGGGACATTGTTTTACAGAAATGTAGAAAAAAGCGTCAAGGTCGTAAGAGGTATTGGTGTAAATTTTGTTCTGCATAGTTTTATTTAATCCAAAGTTACTTCGTGTGCATGAAGGGTTCGAACTGTTGCCTAATATTGGACGAAACTAGTTATATAACACTTTATAATACTGCACGTTTGTAACGTCACTTTTCATTGGATAATAATGATGTTTATATTATTAGTTATAAAGATTGTTGGTAGGTTATATGGCCCTATATCAACGGCTATTTGTACATATAACCCGAACCGCTAGGCGAGGGTTATATTGCAAACATCTGTTTATATACGGCCATATAACCTTTCAGCAATCTTTATATAATACATCATTTTTAGAGAAAAAAAGTAAGATTTATTTATGAATCGACATCAGCCGTGTATATAAAATTATATAAACGTCACGATTATCCATTGAAAAGCGACGTTACAAACGTGCAGTATTATATAGCTTTATATACACGGCTTCTTTCAGTTTATGTAGAAATCACATATTTCCCCCAAAAAGGAAGTATGCTGTATTATATATTCGTCATAAAGATTCCTGACATGTTATAAGGCCGTATATAAAAGGTTGTATGCAATATAACCCTCGCCTAGCGGCTCGGGTTATATATACAAACAATCGTTTATATAGGGCCATATAATCTGTCAAGAATCTTTATAACTAATGATATATCACTTTTGACTACTGTGTTTCATTATATCTATAAAAAAGATGATGGAATTTCATAAGTACGATTGCTTTATATAACTTATAAAATTGTAAAAAGGACAGTTGACAACTATATGGAACAGAATTAATGCATTTATTCCATCTTGCTTTATGATATCGGAATTTCTTTATTTGTTTCCCAAACTCCTTTATACATGAAAACCGGGGTTTTTGCTAAATTCAAAAATCCCTTTAATGATTACTAAATGCCCCTTTATGAAATTGGGAAACCTTGTTTTTCCCCTACAAAACCCATAAAACTCAATTTTTAATATGCTAAAATGTTTAAAATTGCATTTTTTTTTTTAAGGGAAAAACGATTTTTTTGGGTTTTTTAAAAATAACTTTTCTTTATAACTAAGTAAAGGGAATTGAAATTTTTAAAATGTGCTATAAATCGCCACTTATTGTCGGATGTAATATTCATTTTGATCAAATAATTTGGCTGATTTGATGGTCTTAGCATTCATAGCATTTCAATTTATTCCCACTGATTAAATATATATGCAATACATTGATCACTGCGCATCGAAACGAAGTGACCAACGATAGCGATTTATATCGCATGTGAACAGTAGCACTTAAGATTGGCAATAAGCAGAATGCGATTGCAATAATTTGTGTTCATATTATGAAGATGTTCGCTTTGTACGGTAAATCCCCGTTATTTTCCCGGATGATCCCTTATTTTTGGCACGTGGAGTAAAACAAGTACGTCCACTTTAATAGGGGCGTACACAGGAACATTGGGGGACTGAATGTAAATTTTAAAAACAAAGAATCACGAAAATGCGAACAGACAAAAGTGCGTGTTTTTTTGAAATTCCCCAGCATGGGGAAAAATTTATATGTCTCTATAAATTTAAATCCTACAAGTGGCAATCACCCTTATCAATTTTTTACACTTTTTTTTTGAGGTGTGTGAAATTAAAATTAATTTTTTTCAACTTAAGTGGCCCCGAATTTAAAGGGGGTGTGTTTTTTATTTTCTCTTGGCCACGAGATACTTTTCTTTGGGCCACGGTTACTAAGTCGTGGGCCCAAAAATATTTAAGTCGGGGGAATGTTTATATTTTGGGCCCACATTACAAAATCGGGGCCAACAGTAATTAATTTCCGGGGGAACGAAAACAAAGTGGGGCCCACGGGGTTACTAAGCTGGCCAAATAAATAAGTCTTTGGGAAAATTACCTTCTACCCGAAAAAATTTTAGTGTGGCCCAACAAAAAAATTTTTAATTTAAAATCGTGCAAAACAGATAAATAACCAATAAATTACACTATATTTTTAATATTCCTAACAAGGATGGCCCCTACTTCACTTGTCCGTAAAAGTGCCATTTATACAAAGTTATTGATTGGTCAAAGATTTAGCGTCATTGTGACCCTGATTTCTGACCAAATTGCCTAAAAATGATTAGGTGTCATCTACTGATCTTTTAAGGTTATATAAACTACGGCTTATTCTTTCTAAATCATTCATCAGACAAGGATTTGCATGAAGTGTCATATATTTATCTGACCTGTGACCCTCAAGCCATCCTTATAGGATATCTACTGTCCATGGGCAATGTCCCTTCCCAATAAAATAAACCAGGACTGAGTCCCTCTCAAGTTTTGGTATAAACAATGTTAACAGGCCTTTGTACGTACAAAATGACCAATTCTATCATAGAATTGTCCCAACAAAGGGCTTTAACTAAAGAGATAAATAAAAAACACACACATGTCACTTAGTAACTCGTGGCCACGACTTAGTACAGTACAAACTTGATTTTTTTTTGTAAAATAAAATAAATATAATTTGGCTTCACACAAACATTGTGATTTAAATACTTTACACTGTAATTGGGCAGTATGAATATTCATGTATAGTGTTATTACAAAAATATATATGGAAGTTTCTTTTAAAGACAGGCACAACTTTACTTGACCCGTAATAAGGAAAGCAGATTCCTATACATTATGTGTGTGTGTTTTTATTTAAATAAAAACATATTTAGTAAGAATTTTATAGATTTCAATAAATTTCTGTGATAAAAATATATTACTGAAAGATGTGCATAGTATATCTTTAAGCACAAATGTATGTGAATGTGTTGGTATGTTCGGGATGTTTGATCTATAATCAGACACACATATGCCCAACATTTGTAATTGACTATGCACATGTCACAAAAATAAACAACTTCCTTCTTTCCTTATTATACATGTATATTTTAATGTGTTACATACCTATTCGCCACTTTTAGTGACTGAGACAGTTATTAAGTTAAAATGCCAATTAATAAGTTTTCCTTTTCAATGTCCAAGTCATTAGATAAAGACCTTCGCAATCGTAGGCAGGTGCTTAACAACTGGATGACAGCAGTATATGTTTTGATAACGGAGTACACTATGACCATTATTGCATGAAACTTACACGTATATATTCCATCCCAGCTCATCAACGTTTCTTTGGGGTAGGTGCAGCCCTTAAGCCAAGGCCTGAGTCCGCCACTGAACGTATAACTGCCCCATTGAATAACTGTTTACGAGCATATTTTTTCTATTAGACTGTATACATATACATGTATAAAATTATATTGCATAATCCTTACTACTTGTATTTATATTCTTTCCACTGCAATTTATGTATTAAGCGCTTGGTACGTATTTATAGCATTGTCTCCCTCTGTATTTTAACGTATAACCACGATGGCCCTAACGGTATTCCGTAATACATGTATTTACATGTACGGAAAATTCCGATGATAGGCGAATCATGGAAAAAATCCGTTGATATCGATAACAGAGTTCTCGCACCTTAACAGTTCACAAGACATTGTTTAAATTGTTTATCATAATGTAAGATGATCAAACATAATCCACAAAGCCTCAGACACCGAGCTTTATTAAGCATAAACACTGAATAATGGATATAAGCGAAAGCTAATAGTAATCACGCCATGCGAGCTGTAAATCAAATAAGTCCCCTTTTAACAAAATCCATCAGGGAACAAAAAATAGTCAATTTTAAATGACTTCTACATACAAGTAATACAAAAAAAAAACTAAACCGTAAATGGTTTGTATAGAGCATGAAGAAAGGTAGCTTATACATAAAGGTATAAGACGTTAACATTTTATAGTGTTCCAGTTTAATAGTTATCACTCAATGAAAGAATTGGTCACTACGAAATGTTTGAATGAAATAATGAAAAATGGAATTCAGAATAATGCAACGTTTAAATATCATAAAGCAAGATGGAATCAATCATAATGCAAGTTCTAATGTCATGTAGCAAGATGGAATTAAGCATGATGCAAGTTCCGATGTCATCAAGCAAGATGGTATCAAGCATAATGCAAGTTCTAATGTCATCAAGCAAGATGGAATTAAGCATAATGCAAGTTCCAATGTCATCAAGCAAGATAGAATAAATGCATTAATTCTATTCCATACAACTAACTATTCTAACAACTTTGTCTTTAGAATATGCACGGGGCATAGAGTGTGGCAACCAAGGCGTTTTCAGAACGGAGACATTCTCCCAGAGTTGCTTATTGTCAATGTTGAAGCATGTGTATTCAAGACAAAGATTGGAGAAGTCGTTACCGTTGGCCCTAGTAGCAGGTTGTCACATTTACATTAATACAGCTTTAAAATAAATTCTTCATAATGAAGTCATTACAACAAAAGTTCAGAGTTAAGCCACCATAAAAGGATACAATGCTGTGTTGTATTATAATGGTCAAAGTTGCTTTTTAAAATATCCGACTTTTTGTCTATGGAATAGATGTTATCGTTGTTGTTATTATTTATTGTTACAACTTTACAGATCCATACTACGAGGTTTTGCATCGCACATGTGTCGATACCGTAATGACGATTTATGATTGAATTATTTTTAGTTTTAATATTGAAAGACAAATTAGTATGGAAATGGTGTTTACAGCTGGTTTATATTCTTATCTTTCGAAAAAATAAACTGCCAATTCCGTGAACATATCCTGATCAACAATTGGACTGTTGTAGATTTGCATATCAATGTCCCTTAAAAGGGATATCGTTACAAATTTAATCTCTCAAAATATTCTTACTTGCTTTTTTCAGATATACCGTGTTTGCCATAACATACGGGAACGGAAACCATTTCATATGTGAATTTTTCCACGATGGTTCCGGTAAGCTATATGACGGGCTGAAAAATAAAGTCCAGCCACAAAAGAAAGAAATGCACGGATATACTCAAGTTCATGCACTACTGCTTCGTGTCAGGCAAAAAAACGTACTTAAAGCAATACTTTAAATAAGTGAAAATGTGTTATTTGTATCATATATCACATAGAACTACAAACGTGTGGAAGCTACAGTAAAGAAACATTTCATAATAACCATCGGCTTTTACAGATGAAAACCTAAAAATTCTACTGTTAATTGCGTAAGACTATGTGAACAACTTCATTTTTCATCTTGTGATTTTTTCTATAAAATGATTTGAGCTTTTCTCGTATCATGTTGTTAATGTAAGTAAAACACATTATCTACTTACAAATGCTTGAATGTCTGTATGGTAATATAGACTTTTGAGAAAAGCTTTTATTTCTTTTCAAATAACTGTCATTAAAGGATAACACTTTTTTTTCTGATTAAATATTAATGTAATGGTTATAAAGTAGCTTACCATAGTAAGTTGTGTCTCTGAAACAACAAATTGATGTTTTGTTTTAATGACAGACAAACATACAAGAGTTTGCTAGACAGACTTTTGCCTAAACATCCAGATGGGTTTATAGGTTTCATGATTATTGATTGCCCGGAGCAAATCTCCTTAACTATGAAAGCATTTAGTTGATATTTGGCGCATAAATAGAGGTGAATGACAGAAAGAATTTACGTATTTCCTTCTGTCCCTTATTCGGAGTTGAATAAGGAATAAGGAACTGGTTCCCTATTCCTTATTCGACTATAACATTTTTTTCAAAAAAAATTATGTAGATGCTTTATTTCAAGATTTTAATGATTGATTCTTGCAATTCTTATGCTGCATATTTATCAAAAATAACTGCAACTGGTGTCTTTCTTTACTTATTTCCTTCTGTTCCTTATTCGGAGTTGAATAAGGAATAAGGAACTGGTTCCCTATTCCTTATTCGACTTTAACATTTTTTTCAAAAAAATTATGTAGATGCTTTATTTCACGATTTTAATGATTGATTCTTGCAATTCTTATGCAGATTTATCAAAAATAACAGCAACTGCTGTCTTAATTTACGTAATTACTTCTGTTCCTTATTTGGAGTCGAATGAACCTGAACATTTTTTTTTCCAAAATATTTTCATGCAGATGCTTTATTTCATGATTTTTTATGATTGATCCTTGCAATTCTAATGTAGATTTATCAAAAATAACTGCAACTGGTGTCTTTCTTTACGTATTTCTTTCTGTTCCTTATTCGAAGTTGAATAAGGAATAAGGAACTGGTTCCCTATTCCTTATTCGACTTTAACATTTTTTTTTCAAAAAAATTATGTAGATGCTTTATTTCACGGTTTTAATGATTGATCCTTGCAATTCTAATGCAGATTTATCAATAATAATTGCAACTGGTGTCTTTCTATACGTAATAACTTCTGTTCCTTATTAGGAGTCGAATGAACCTGAACATATTTTTTTTCAAAATATTTTTATGCTAGATGCTTTATTTCATGATTTTTATGATTGATCCTTGCAATTCTAATGCAATTTATCAAAAATAACTGCAACTGGTGTCTTTCTTTACACATTTTCTTCTGTTCCTTATTCGGAGTTGAATAAGGAATACCCTATTCCTTATTTGACTTTAATATTTTTTTTTTTCAAAAAAAAATATGTAGATGCTTTATTTCATGATTTTAATGATTGATTCTTGCAATTCTTATGCAGATTTATCAAAAATAACTGCAACTGGTGTCTTTCTTTCTTTACGTATTTTCTTTCTGTTCCTTATTCGGAGTTGAATAAGGAATAAGGAACTGGTTCCCTATTCCTTATTCGACTTTAACATTTTTTTTCAAAAAAATTATGTAGATGCTTTATTTCATGATTTTAATGATTGATCCTTGCAATTCTTATGCAGATTTATCAAAAATAACTGCAACTGCTGTCTTTCTTTACGTAATAACTTCTGTTCCTTATTCGGAGTCGAATGAACCTGAACATTTTTTTTCCCAAAATATCTTATGCAGATGCTTTATTTCATGATTTTTATGATTGATCCTTGCAATTCTAATGCAGATTTATAAAAAAAACTGCAACTGGTGTCTTTCTTTACGTATTTTCTTCTGTTCCTTATTCGGAGTTGAATAAGGAATAAGGAACTGGTTCCCTATTCCTTTTTCGACTTTAACATTTTTTTCAAAAAAATATGTAGATGCTTTATTTCACGGTTTTAATGATTGATCCTTGCAATTCTAATGCAGATTTATCAATAATAATTGCAACTGCTGTCTTTCTTTACGTAATTACTTCTGTTCCTTATTCGGAGTCTAATGAACCTGAACATTTTTTTTTCCAAAATATTTTCATGCAGATGCTTTATTTTATGATTTTTATGATTGATCCTTGCAATTCTAATGCAAATTTATCAAAAATAACTGCAACTGGTGTCTTTCTTTACATATTTTCTTCTGTTCCTTATTCGGAGTTGAATAAGGAATAAGGATCTGGTTCCCTATTCCTTATTCGACTTTAACATTTTTTTTTTCAAAAAAATTATGTAGATGCTTTACTTCATGATTTTAATGATTGATTCTTGCAATTCTTATGCAAATTTATCAAAAATAACTGCAACTGGTGTCTTTCTTTACGTATTTCTTTCTGTTCCTTATTCGAAGTTGAATAAGGAATAAGGAACTGGTTCCCTATTCCTTATTCGACTTTAACATTTTTTTTCAAAAAAATTATGTAGATGCTTTATTTCATGATTTTAATGATTGATCCTTGCAATTCTTATGCAGATTTATCAAAAATAACTGCAACTGGTGTCTTTCTTTACATTTTTTCTTCTGTTCCTTATTCGGAGTTGAATAAGGAATAAGGATCTGGTTCCCTATTCCTTATTCGACTTTAACATTTTTTTTTTCAAAAAAATTATGTAGATGCTTTACTTCATGATTTTAATGATTGATTCTTGCAATTCTTATGCAGATTTATCAAAAATAACTGCAACTGGTGTCTTTCTTTACGTATTTCTTTCTGTTCCTTATTCGAAGTTGAATAAGGAATAAGGAACTGGTTCCCTATTCCTTATTCGACTTTAACATTTTTTTTTTCAAAAAAATTATGTAGATGCTTTATTTCATGATTTTAATGATTGATCCTTGCAATTCTTATGCAGATTTATCAAAAATAACTGCAACTGCTGTCTTTCTTTACGTAATAACTTCTGTTCCTTATTCAAAGTCGAATGAACCTGAACATTTTCTTTCCAAAATATCTTATGCAGATGCTTTATTTCATGATTTTTATGATTGATCCTTGCAATTCTAATGCAGATTTATAAAAAAAAAAACTGCAAACTGGTGTCCTGCTTTTACGTATTTTCTTCTGTTCCTTATTCGGAGTTGAATAAGGAAATAAGGAACTGGTTCCCTATTCCTTTTTCGACTTTAACATTTTTTTTCAAAAAAATATGTAGATGCTTTATTTCACGGTTTTAATGATTGATCCTTGCAATTCTAATGCAGATTTATCAATAATAATTGCAACTGCTGTCTTTCTTTACGTAATAACTTCTGTTCCTTTTCGGAGTCGAATGAACCTGAACATATTTTTTTCCAAAATATTTTTATGCTAATGCTTTATTTCATGATTTTTATGATTGACCCTTGCAATTCGAATGCAGATTTTTCAAAAGTAGCTGATGTCTTTCTTTACGTATTATCTTTTGTTCCTTATTCAGAGTTGAATAAAGAACTGGTTCCCTATCCTTATTCGACTTTAACATTTTTTCAAAACATTTTATGCTGATGCTTTATTTAATGATTTTTATGATTGATTCTTGCAATTCTTATGCAAATTTATCAAAAATAACTGCAACTGATGTCTTTCTTTACATATTTTCTTCTGTTCCTTATTCGGAGTTGAATAAGGAATAAGGAACTGGTTCCCTATTCCTTATTCGACTTTAACATTTTTTTTTTCAAAAACATTATGTATATGCTTTACATCATGATTTCAATGATTGATTCTTGCAATTCTTATGCAGATTTATCAAAAATAACTGCAACTGCTGTCTTCCTTTACGTAATTACTTCTGTTCCTTATTCGGAGTCGAATGAACCTGAACATTTTTTTTCCAAAATATTTTCATGCAGATGCTTTATTTCATGATTTTTATGATTGATCCTTGCAATTCTAATGCAGATCTATCAAAAATAACTGCAACTGGTGTCTTTCTTTACGTATTTCTTTCTGTTCCTTATTCGAAGTTGAATAAGGAATAAGGAACTGGTTCCCTATTCCTTATTCGACTTTTATATTTTTTTCAAAAAAAATTATGTAGATTCTTTATGTCATGATTTTATTGTTTGATCCTTGCAATTCTTATGCATATTTATCAAAAATAATTGCAACTGGTGTCTTTCTTTACGTATTTTCTTCTGTTCCTTATTCGGAGTTGAATAAGGAATAAGGAACTGGTTCCCTATTCCTTATTCGACTTTTAACATTTTTTTCCAAAATGTTTTATGCAGATTCTTTATGCAATGATTTGAATGAGGTATAAATTTTATTTTAAATAAATACTAATTCTGCTGTTCCTTATTTAGATTTGAATAAGGAATCAGGAACTAGTTCCCTATTCCTTATTCGAAAAAGGAATAAGGAGCTGATTCCTTATTCCTTATTCGAAAAAGGAATAAGGAATAAGGAATAGGGAACTAACTTTATGTACATTAAATATTGTTACTGACAAGAATCTGAGCCGGGGGCATATGTGTTTAACGGTTTTGTTGTTTAGTGATAATTTGTGACCAGGCTGGTTACTATTCTTATCAACAATGTATTTTTCATTCAATTTTTGTACTATTATTAGATATAAACATTCCTTTCTTGCAATACTACATGTATCAGAGCTTATTGTTGCAATACTAACAAAAATGTTTTTAAAAGGGGTTTTATTTTTTGCCAATATTTAACCAATGTATAAAAGGGGGCTTATTTTTAAAATTCTAAATCGCCTTTACATAACAAATATAAATTTAGTTTTAAACCTTTAAAAAAAAAATTAAAAAAATTTGTTTACATTGGATTTCTTTCGGGTCAAAAATTAAAATTTTTTTAAATTTTATTTTCTTTGAAACACTTTAAACAATCAAAAAAAGATTTATTTTTGGTTGGGGTAGTTTTCACTCCGGATCAGGGAAAGTAAAAAAAAAAAACCCTTAAAAACTAAGTGATCCCTTTCGAAAAGCATTAAAAACAAAAAAATAACATAAAAATTTGGCTAGGGTTTGGGGGTTTTTTTTGGTTCTGTACATGAGGAAAAATTAAAATCATGCAAAAACCCTTCTTTTTTAAATTTTTTCAACACTTAATAGTGCTGTCATCAATGATATCGAAGGACAAGAAAAGTATAACAACACTGAAGTGTAGTATGCCACATTTAATTTACTACAGCACAGTAAGGCACCCGAGGTTTCTGGGCAGGCTGTCGAGCAGTTTACCAGTACTAGTTGCTTTCACTTTCGCAAGGATCTGAAACTTCTGTACATAACAGAGGTACAGTGCGAATGACCGTAGAAAAGATTTCATGATCAATCACAATGAAAGTGACCTGCACCATCCGGCAATCGAATCCGGGTCGCCTGGGTCCAACGCTCTACCTATATTGAGCAAACGGGAAATCTCTCACCGAATATCACATAGCATAAATTATGTCTGCTTCTTTAAAGATTGTTTCCGAGTTGTGATAGTCTATGAGAAGTTGATTAACAAACAAGTCACATGACGAGCCTTATACTATGGAAAGCATTAACTGTCTTATAATTATAAACCTAAATGTTG